GACAACCATGTGAGACTGCAGAAGCGGCCTGGGGGGACGGGGAGGGGGGGGCTTCACCTGAGCAGGACCTCGGCTCTGGGCTGCACAGCCGCCGGGCAGGTGCGTAGGTGGCAAGGATGCTGGCGGGGCAGGATCCCTCTGTTGGCCAGACAAAGCGCCCGGCCCAGTGACTCCAGGGGTGCCCCATCCGGCTTCCCGGTCACGGTGATCGGCAAGAGCAGCAGTGTTAGGCTCCGGCCCGTGGGGTGTGGACCCCACACCTGCTCCCGGGGGCCCCGGCCCTCTTCCACAGAGCCCTGCTTGCCCACTGGTGCCAGTGGAAGAGCTGCAGGGGGAGATTTTGGGGGGGGGCTACAGCTGGGAAGGGAAGGGTTAATTCTCTACCCCACCCCACAAAGAGGAAGGTGAGGAAGAAAAAGAAGAGGGAGATCTCTCTTTTTAACATCTTTAATTGTGCCTACTGTGAGCTGTTTCAAGCTGCCAAGGCATGTGGTGGACAGCGTACAAAAGTTTTAAATCAATCAATCAATCAATCAATTTATCTTGCGCAGCAATTAACCTTTGGGGGGAGAAACAACATTTTCACAGTGGTTGGGAAGAACTTAGATGGAAAGTATTTATCTGACATTATGCGGATGAGAAATGCATTGGCTGGCGTTGCCACCTGTGACATTTAAATTCTGGCAGGTCTTCCCACAATCACACATACAGACAAAAGCAAGCGTTGTATAGCTTTGTGTCCACTGGGCCTGGGTCTTTGAAGGGTCTTTGAAGGGTCCAGCAACACACGTGCTGCACACCCACTCCCTCCCACGCCCGAAAACGGCTCTGGGCACACGCCGCCCGGGCTATCGAGGGGGAGCCCAGAGGCGCCACTCCGACTGGCGGCAATGGCGCAGAAGCTTTCAGAGCCCTCTGGGGGATGCCGGGGATCAAACCTGGAACCGCCTGAGCTGCGGGATTGGGCACCTTTCCAGCAATGGCATGTCTCTGCGGTTATGTAAGCGCACGTGTGAATCTGAACGGGGAGGCGGCCCTCGCACCTGGGAGGACGTGGCAGCGCTGGAATGCAATGCAGAGCGTCCGCGGGACCCGCCCCGCATTCTTCCTAAAGGGCACCGTCTCCTGCGCGGGGCGGCCCCCACCTGCGCGCTGGCACTCAGCGCGGGTCGCAGGTGCAGGGAGCTCAGCACCCAGACGAAGCCCCGCTGCGCAGCCTTTGTCCGCCGCCGGGAAGCGCGGGGCTGGACCGCTCCCTCGTCTCGGCTCTTTGTGCTCGTGCCCGGCAGCCACGGGTATCGGTTGCGCGGGGGGCGCCCCTCCGGCGGCAGCCAAGGTTCCGGCTAGCCGCGTCCCCGGACGACCCGGCAGGGCGTCCCGGGCAAGGGTTCCCCTTCCGTCAACTAGCCGGGCACCTTCCCCATCCGGAAGCCCGCAGAGGGGCCGGGCGGCGCCTCCCGCGGGCTGCCCATTCCTGGTGCGCGGGGGCCGGCCCCGGGGGCGGGTGGAAGCCCCGCCGGCCCCGTTTCGCATCAGAATCAGATGGGGCGGGCGGCTGCTGCCCGCCGTGCTGCCTGCGGGGGGCCATTTGCCCCCTCGGCCCGCGCGCCCCTCCGGGGCTCGGAGCCCCGCAAGCCGGGCCGGATCGCAGCGGAGTCGCCGGCAGCGCCTGCCCGGTCTTGCACCGGTGGCCCCGCCGCGGCTCGGTTGCTTCGGAACATGGACGACCGGAGCGACCAACGCGCCCCGCTGGCTGGGTGAGGCCGCGGGGGTTCAGCCCGGCCCTGGAGAGCTCGCCGAGCCGCGCGGGTTCGGTTCCCCGTCTGCAAGGAACGCGGCGAGCGAGTTCTCTGGGCATGGGCAGAGCGCCGTCTCGCCCGGCTGGCAACGCGGAGAAGGCGGCCCCGCTCGAGGCGGGGAAAGGCAAACCCGGCCGGGAGGAGGCGGAGGGGCCGGTTGCCAGGAGACGAAGTACACAATGGGGCGGCCAAGCTCCGGCCCCGCGGCCGGCTCAGTCCTGCCACGGCCTCCTGCGCGCTCCCCAGGCGGCTCTGCGGTCCGCCTTGCTGCTCTCGCCGCGGTCCGCGTCCAGGTCGGTGTTCCTGCGGGGTGTGGCGCCCCTATTCCGTGGACGAGCGAGCGAGCGAGCGAGCTAACCAGATCCCCCCTGCGAGCCCGTGGTTCGCCTCCCCGCCTCCCGCGGGATCGCGCTCCGCTCTGGGCTCCGCACGGGTCCTGGGGCCGCTGCAGCGCCTCGCGCGGCGGGGCGGGGGCCGAGGCGGGCGCGCGGCGGGGGGCCCAGAGCCCCTGGCCGCTGCGCCCTTTGCGCCAGCCCCAGGAGGGCTCGGGGCGCGCGTCCGCTCGCTCGGCCTGCCCGGGCGCGCGGCCTCCGATCGCTTTCCCGTGCCCACCGCGTGCGGGGCGCTGAGCACGCCCGTCCCCGCGCCCGCTCCCGCCTCCGTGCCTGCGCAGGCCGCGGCGGGCAGCGAGAGTGCCGGGCCGGGGCGCCGGCTGGCGGGCAGGGCTCGCAGGCGTGGGCTCCGGGGTGGCTTGGGACCTGCGCGGCCCCTCGGCCCCACCGACCTCACGGGCTGCCGTGAGCCAAACAGGGAGGGCGGGGGCCCCCGGGCTCCTTGCAGGGGAAGAAGCGCCGGGCGCTCGGTGAGGAGGAGCGTCGCCCGCTTGGGTGGCTTTGAAAAGGGGGGTGCGCGTTCCGGGGCGAGGCCGAAGGAGGATCGCGTCGTCCCCGAAGGCCTGGCAACCCGGCGGCGAGAGGGCGGCCGGCCCTGCCCAGGCTCTGCAGCCGCTCTGTGGCCGGAGCGCGGCGCGGCTCTGGGAGCTCCTCGGCAGGATCGCCAGGCAGGCGCAGGCGCAGCGCAGCGGGAGCTCACTCGCTGCCCGCTCGGGCGTGTGTCCGAGGCCGCCGGCCGCGACGTTTTCCTCCGGGCACCCACGGAACGCTCCCCACGAGCCAAGGCGGTGGACTCGCTTTCAGTCGCCTGCTGCCAAAGGGGGCCAGGCGTGATATAAAGCGGCCAGTTACGGGAGGGAGGGTGTCCGCGAGGGGACGAGACAAAGGCCACCCTGGCCCCTTCTCTTCTCTGCCGGCGGTGCCAAGTGATGGGCTGGTGTGGCTTTTTTCTCCAATGTCTGTGAGCATTCACTGTGTTCGCTCGCTCATTATATTTCTACACCTGTGGATGTTCTGAAGAGGTTACAGGAGATTCAGACTGTAAAGATGCAAGCTGAAACACTCCATGAAAACCACATGCCTGCAGATCAATTTAAAACTCAGTAATAACCATTCCAGGACCAAGTCAAGACTTTCTGGTATGCTGTCAGTGCCGGAGAACAGAGGAAAGCGGGGAGGATGTGGGTGCTGATGCCCACGGACATCAGCGGGGCCCCCGCCAAGGAGGCCTCTTCTTGTCACCAGGCAAAATGCTCTCCGAGGAGGCATCTGGGGGTGGCCCCCGATGACAATCAGTGCAGATAGGAGCACAGGAGAGGCTCTCAGTTCCGGTGGTCATCCAGAGCTGTGTCACATTGTGTCGGTCATCACGGACACGTTGGTTTGGGCTTGGAATGCTGCAAGGCACAGAGGCCAGAATTCTCGCGGCACGTTCGTATGTTCGGGGCCCCTCAAAGTCCGGCTGCCGCTCCTGCACCAGCTGCAGCTTCCGGGCTCCTCCAAGGGGAGCTCTCCGGAGCGGAGTGGAGCGGAGCGGAGCATCGCCTGCTGAGGCCAGATGTCCAGGTGGGGCCCAAGCGGGGCCACCGGTCATCACTGGGCGAAGGTGTTCAGCGCCACCCGAGACCCCCGAGCCCCAGCCACGGCCCCTGAGGGCCCTAGGGGAGCCCCAAGTGATGCGCCTGCCTCAGACCATGCAGGAACACCTGGTGCGGCCCCTGCCGCGGGGCAACCGCATGGAGCACTGCTGGGGGGACTTGCTCCCCTCCTGCTGGGGGGATCCTGGGGCAGCCGGAGCCTGGACGGGATGCACCTTGGCCTGGTGCAGCACAGCTTCACTGACGGTGCTCTGCTCTCGTCCCGAAGGGCCTGGCTGGACGCCTTCTCGTGCGAGGAGCTGGCTGCGAGACCCCGTCCTGAGCTAGCTTCCGCTTCCCCGCTGCCCTCGAGGCAGTCTGACCTGGGGGCTCCCAGAGCACAGACCCCGTGGCTCGGCCGTCTGGGCTGAGGCTGTCCTGGGCCGGGCTGGATGAGGCCCCTGCGGGTGCCGGGGCCAACAGGGTCACCGAGCGCTCCGCCTGTTCCTCCAGCCGCCCCCTGGGGCAGGAACCAGCTTCCCGCAGCGCCCCCACCTCCAGGTCTGAGCGCCAGCGCCCCAGAGCCCCTCGCCCAGCCAGGCAGCAGCTCAGCCGCATCTCCCAGGGTGGCACGGGGGGGAAACGCCTAGTGCCTGGCACCCCGGGCACTGCAACGCCCCGGCTGCAGGGACGGCCCACACGTGGCACGGCTGCTTGTGGCTCGGAGCCGAGGAGCCCCGGAAGCCTCCCCCCCAGGCAGCCAGTGGGCCGACCGCATCCCCTTCCCAGGCACTGTGGGGACAGCGGGCCCGTTCGGCGAGGGCAGACCGGCCCCCGCCCCCTACAGCCTTGGAGGGGCTGCTCCCCGCTGGCAGCCCAGTCCTCCGGCCAGGCCAGGGGTGCTGAGCCTCTCTCGGTCCCAGGGCCTGAGCTCCGGGGGGCCACATTCTGCTGGTGGGTGGGGCCCAGCTGAGCTCCTCTTCCAGTAGCAAAGCCCAGGGGTGGCGGTGGAGCCCCTCGGGATGGCCCCGGGAACGGGTTTGGGGACCGGAGACCTGTGAAGCGACCAAATGCGTGGGGCCTGAGGAACGCCGGGGGGCCACGGGGAGGAGGCTGGACGGGGCCACCAGGCCTGGGATTCGACTCCGCTGCGGCTGGCAACTGGCTGGTGAGGTTCCCTCCCTGTGCATTTCCTTTCAGAGCTCGCAGAGGGCTAGCGCCACGCAGCGGAGATGTCCACAGATGTCTGGGTGGGGAGCTGGCGGCCTCACCGGCCCCGGGGGCCGATCGCCGCCCTGTACAGCAGCCCGGGGCCCAAATATGGACTCCCAACAAACGTCGGTGAGCAAATGCAGAGATCCACACGGGGAGCAAGGGAGAAGAGACGTGGGCTCTGTGCCTTGAGCGGATCATCGCGGGCCGGGTGAGGCGGTGGGTGGTCTCGGTTTTAGCACAGAGCAGCTAGTCACGCAGGACAAAGAGTGTGCCCCCCTCTCCCACAGACACACACAGACACACACTCACACACGTCTAGCTTGCCCAGAAGGTTTGTGCAAAACTCAGTTGCCGCCCACACCAGGCTCCAAGTCCTCGCAGGAGACCGTGGCTCCTCTCCCGGTGGTCCTGCCCGCATTCGCCGGCCTTCTGCTGATGACCCGGACCCTCCCCCTGCCCCGGAGGAGGGGAGCGTGACGCTCCAGCAGATCCAGCCCGCCTCACGACTGTCGCCAAGCTGCCGGTGGCTCCCTCAGGAAGAGCCTGGCCGGGGACAGGAGCACAGCCAGTTCCGTTCCCACGGACCCTTGTGGTCGAGCCCATTTAATATGGCGCCTCTTTGAGTCCGTATTCTCCAGGCTGACGTGAAATGGTTTGGGACATAAGCAGGTTTCCAAAAGGGGGGCCAGTCTGGTCCACGGGATGCGTCTTCTGGCCAAGGAAGAGAGGCATGCGAGGCGGGGGCTGCTTAGCTTGGACCCTCCACCCCCCTCCCCTCCCCAAGACGCCGTCTACGTTGGTATAACGCCATTTGGCAGAAATGGGCAAAGAGAGTAAGCACGGCAAGGAAAAGCCTCCAGTGTGGACCAGTGGCAGGTTTCAGGTGGTGCTTCTTTCTGTGGCATGTGAAGGATCAGCACGTGGAACTCCTTGCCACAAGATGTTTTCATGGTGATTTTTTGTTTAGTCGCGAAGTCACATCCGACCCATCGCGACCCCATGGACAACACTCCTCCAGGCCCTCCTGTCCTCCACCATCCCCTGCAGTCCACACCAACTGCCTCAGTGACCCCATCCAGCCACCTCATCCTCTGCCGCCCCCTCCTTCTTTTGCCATCTATTGTTCCCAGCATTAGGCTCTTCTCCAGGGAGTCCTTCCTTCTCATTAGGTGGCCAAA